AGGTGTTCTCAGCAAAGAGAAGGAATCGATTTTAGCCAGTAGTGGGGTTTTTGCTTGCTCAGGCAGCTAATGGAGCTGCAGAGCTGCGGAGGAGGAGATTTGGTTTTCCCGAGTAGGCTGTTAAGATGCTTTGATAATGGATTTCCATAATGGCCATGAGATAACGCTAACAGACCCGCCTCACCTCCGCGCAGATGGGTCAGAAGTTCATAACGAAGCTTGCCGGTACATGTAGTAAGAGAGAACGGCGTGTGCGTCCTCTCGGGGCAGGCTGTCTCCTGCCAGTCTGGATTTCCCTGACACGTGGTCCTCCTAAACACAGGAACGGGTCCCCCCCTCGGGTCAAGGCAGCGTTAACTTTCATCTCGTGGCTGTGCTTATCTCAAAAATAGATGGAGGCAGAAAAACAGGTGAAGGTAGATGGAACTAGCAAAGCAGGGAGCCTGCGATTCCTCTCTTTGTGTTCTCATGCCGAAGCGCAGCGCAGAGACGAGCCCTTGCCAGCCCGCGCGGGGACCTGCAGGCGGGGAGGAGGAGAGTGCCCTGAGTAACAAGTGTCTCCCGTAGCCAGCCTCCCGCCTTGAGCCAGCTGACAGCCCTCTACGTGGGAAGGACTCACTCCCTCTGGAAGGACCCAGCCGTCATGGCGTGGCTGGAGACCAACGTCCACGAGGTCCTGCGCATGGTGGATGCCCGGGACCCGCTGGTGGAGGAGTCTGAGCACAAGTGAGTGCGGCAGGCGGAGGTGAGGGGCTTTCATACCAGGCAGGGGGGCTGAAACGCGGGGACGGAGTGGGCTGGGGGGCCCTGCAGATGGGAGAGGAGCTGGGGCTTGCTCAGAGCCCCACAGCTGCCAACCCGAGGTGGCTCCCAATGCCGAAGGTTATGCTGTGGGGCTGGGAAGGTAGAGGCTGCTCTTCCCTGCTTTTGCGCCAGCGGGAATTATGAGCTGTTCCTCCGGCTGGGGAGCGTGTGCTGGTTTCTCCCAGCCTCGGCTGCCAGGCCTGCCCTGGAAACTGCCCAGGAGGGCGGAGGGGTTGCCACTGGTGGGGAGGGCCAGGGACGGCTGCGCCGCTCGCAGGCGATGGCTGCACCGGGCAGGTGAGTGCTTGGAAACACTTCCCAGCTCTGAGAAGCAGGAGAGTGGGGCGTTGGGTCTTGTCCAAAGCCGAAGTTTGTTTACTCTGCTGACCTGCAGAGGAACGGGGCCGGTGAGAGAGATCTGCGCAGCGTCCCTGAGCTGTTCCGCTCTTTCATCTGTGGTCAGCAGCTGCCGAGTGACTTTGGCTTTGCTGTAAGGCAGCTCCGTTCGATACAGCGCGTCCCCCTGGGGACAGGGATGAAGCTGACCATGCACCTGGGGAGCAGAAACGGGAAGCTGGCCATGCTGAGGCCTGCTCGCTGCAATCCTCCATCCCCCTCCCTGCTGTTGTAGGAGGAAGATGCGGTACCAGAGCGCACCCAGGAATATCTACCGGCACATCATCCTCTCGGAGATGAAGGAGGCCACGGCAGCTCTGCCTCTGGTGAGGGGCCCTGACGGGGTGCGGGCGGTGCCGCCGTGGGCGGTGCGATGGCACTCGCGTCCCTCCCGTGCAGGTGGGCGCTGGGCACGCCTTAAACCCCAGCCACCAGCAAGAAATGCCCACCTGACCTCCAGGTGTCCTCTGGCTTCCCAGGGCAGCACACGGGGGCTGGTGCCCCCGAGACCGAGGGCTGTCCGGCTGGGCTGGCTGTCTCGTGCCTCGGTGCTTGCTGCTGCTGGCGGCACAGCCTTCACCCCTTCTTTCTTCTCCCTCATCCCCCTCGCAGGAGGTGACCTCGCAGCCTGTGATGGGGTTCGATCCCTTACCTCCTTTGGACTCCATCGTCTCCTACACCCGACCAGAAAGGTACCTCCTCCACCCCTTGGTGCTGCGCTGGCACAGCCGGCCTGGTCCTGGCACACCCTCAGCCCCGGGTGCATGTGGGCACTCGGAGCTGAACTACTCCTCCTCCTCCATCTGGGAGGAAGAGCAGCCTGGCTTGCAGTGCTCACCGGCAGGCAGGACTGGTCCTGCTGCTTTCCCTCGGTGGTCACCATTGGGAGGTGGCAGCTGTTCACAGCCACCAAGGCAGAGGCTGCTGAAAAACATTGGCTGTTCCTGAGCTGAGGTGGTTTGGGGTCAATACGGCCCAGAGCGCAGCCGGCCCCGGTGGGCACAGACCCTTCGGGTGAAGCCCGCGCGTCTCCTGCGCACTGACCCAGCTCCGAGCGAGCCTGGCAGTGCTTTTAATGCCCGCTTTGCCCAGAGGCTGGCATGCTGCTGGCTGCCGGGGGTAAGAAATCCCAGAGAATTCCCAGGCACCCTGCTTGGGGGCTGGCTCGGGGGGGGCCTGTGGTGGCCCAGATGGCGTGGTTCCCTCCGGAGCTGCCTCGGCCCCAGCGAGGGGTCGAGTACCAAGCTGCCCCCTTCACCATGGTGTGACTTCTGTCTTTCAGAACGAATCATCCACCCAACGAAAGCACTTTATCTCTCTTCTTCCGCTCGCTGCTGCCAAACTTTAACTTGCAGGTATGTGCAGTTGGCTGCTGGGGGCAGATGGGAGCCCGTGCTGGCCCTCGGTGCGCAGGAGCTTCCACTGCACAGTGTTTCTGCAAAGGGAGTGGCTCTTGGCACATGCAGTGTGTAAACGTCAGCTTGCAGAACAGCCCCATGCTTTTTGGCAAGCGGCGTTGTCTCTTGCCCTCGCCCACCGCGGGCAGCTCCCTGCCTGGCCGCTCCAGCGCCGCTCTCTTGCAGGGGGACGTCAGGCACGACGGGGACGAAGAGGCCGGAGCGGGGCAGGACCTTAACCAGGGGGTGAACAGGCTGATGGCAGCCATGCGGGACATGCTGGCAAACATCCAGTTCCAGGAGCCCCCCCGAGACGACAATCCTGAAGGCGATGGGGACTGGGACTGAGCCCAGGAGCGCGCGTCTTCCCCCTTCCCAACCCTCCGTCACCCCGACTTGTGTCGCACTTCCAATAAAGTCAACATAAACCCAGAGCGCCCGCTCTCACTGCAGGGACCTTCCCAGGGCTCTCCCTCAGCTCCGCGTCGCCTTCTGCCCTCCTCCCGGCACATTTTGCTGCCCCGGTCCCCTCTCTGCTCTTCTCCTGGTCTTGAATCAGGTATTACAACCAAATGACAGCACACTGTAAAATCAGCACTAGACAGACTCATCTACTGACTAATGAGTGGCCTGCCAAGGTTTTGAGGTCACATTCAAAACTAAAAATTAATTATAATCAATCATATTATTAAAAAAAGAAAGAAAAGTCGTTTCAACAAGACTAAAGCTTGCAAGTACCATTCTGTAGAGTTTGTGCTCGTGACTCCTTTCCCAGATTGGCATGGAATCCTCCCTGCAAAGCTGGGTTTTCCCCCCCCCCTTTCTGCTGTGTAACGGTGTAGATTTGGCTCTAAGGCCAGGCCCTGCTGCCCGGAATAAATCTTTCCCATCTTGCCACGTCCTATCCCTGGGGAGCAGCCTGGATTCCGGGGGCCTGGTGGGGATGGAGCCAGGGCAGGTTGGCCAGAGCCGGCCCCATCCCCACCGGCACATCCGAATCCCATGGCACAGGACCCCCATCAGAGGACCCCCATCCTCTCCCTCAGTGCCGCACCCCTTGGATTTGCAGACTCAGCGTTTTCCTAGCTCTGCTCTCAAAGCCTCAGTTGATAAAGCTCAAAATTCACAGCACATTAATGGTGGCCGTTGGTCTGGATTTCTCCTCCTTGCCTTTCCTGAACGGCATTTTACCCGCTACCGGGGTTCCCGTTGGGTGCATGGCACGTGTTAACCGTGCTCTCCCTGCAAGCGATCCCGTTCCCACCGGAGCCGCGGGGTGCTCTGTGCCGTGGGGAAGGGCTCCTGGCGCCCCGCGGAAAGGAGCGGAAGCGACTGGTGGGAGCGACCACGGGATCGGCCTTTTCATGTGGCCGTGAATGGTTCTTTGGCAGCGGAGCGGCTCCAGGCATCAACACCAACCAAAGGCACATGACTGTCAGTTGGGTCCCATGTCCCCCAGCCCACCCAGGCTCCCTCCAGCACCGGGCTTTTCCAGAGGCACGGCATCACCTTTAATCGTGCCTTTGACAATTCCTATCGGATCTGTCGCCTGCCCCATGGCAAAATGCCTTCCCCAGGGCTGGGCCAGGCAAGGCCAGCGGGGGAGATGGGGCTCCTGGCCCCACACATGGGGGGCTGGGAGGGGCTGCTTGGCTCCTGCAGTGTCAAGGTCCCACCAGGGTCCCCAAAGCGCATGGACGCCGTGGGGCACAGAGACCTCCCAGGGCACATGTGGACCCCCTAAGACCCACAGCCCCCCAGGGTGCAGGGATTCCCCCTCCCCCAGGTCACACAGGACCCCAGGACGCTTGGGGACCCCAAGGTGCGTGGAGGCCCAGGGCGCAGAGGGCCCTGATGCCATGCAGACCCCCAAGGGCACATGGGACCCCTGGGCACATGGTGTCCCCAAGCGGTCGGGTTCCCCCAGGGCCGTGCCAGGGGTCCGGCAGCCCCAGCCTCCCCATCGGCTCCCTGCGCTGCTGGGGTGCCGCTGTCATGTGGGTGCCCACCCTCCTCAGGAGGAGGAGCTGCGGGAGCCAGCTTTAAAGTGG